CCATTGCTGGCCTATATTTTTGTTCTACAAGGTCAAACTCAACACTAAGAGGCAAGTGTCTTCCTTGCAATTAACAGGTTTTCACTACAGCAAAAGAATTTCTTTAGAGATACCTGCCTTGGCAAATTAAGTCTCCTCTTACCTCTCTGTTACCAGTTATAAACCAAAGCACAGGAAAAAGACATGAAAGTGCAAAAAAAAAACAAAAACATGACAAACAGACTGCTTTCGCAACAAATACCTTTCTTTATAAATATGCCAAATGTATAGTTTAATTTCTGAGGGTCTGAACACATATGATGTTAAATGCAACATCATTTCTATATCCTTCCTTCTTTTCTATGCATCACTCAGTTGCAGCAAGCTATCAACAGGTCAGCAGTTAAAAAAAGGGAGAGACAAAGGAGAAGGAAAGCTAAATACTTTCTTCACAGGATTATCAGATTCATGTCTCAGATCCATTTTAATAATTACAACAAATAGGTCCCTTGGCCTTGCAAAATGGGGATTTCAATATGTAATCCAGTGAACTTATTTTCTGTTATGGAAATCTCTCCATTTACAGTGGTGCCTGGCTTAACAATTACCTCGTTAAATGACTAATCCACTTGACGATGAGGTTTTTGCGATTGTGAAAGTGATTGCAAAATGATGGGAAAAATGATGGGAAAAATTTGCTTAACGATGATTGGTTCCCTGCTTTGGGAACCGAATTTTTGCTTCACAATAGTTTTAAATCAGCTGATCGGCGGCTCTCAAAATGGCCACCCGCTGTGCAAAATGGCTCCCCGCTGTTTTTAAGATGGATTTTTCGCTTTACAGGCACCCGAAAATGGCCCCCCAATGGAGGATCTTCGCTGGACGATTAGGTATTTAGCCCATTGGAATGCATTGAACCGGTTTTCAATGCATTTCAATGGGCTTTTTTATTTCGCTTGACGAGGATTTCGCTCTACAGTGATTTTGCTGGAACGGATTATCCTCGTCAAGCGAGGCACCACTGTATTTGCAGAATCTAATTCTGATCTGCCAAGGCCTCTGCTAATGCTTGCTCCCAAGCTGAAGCAGCAAGCATGGATCTTATAAAACATTTAAATATCCAAAATAGAGATTAGAATTGAGAAGACAGAGAGATCTAGTTCACTGCTGACAGGGATAATTATTTCCTAAGGAGTATTATATTCAGTATGGCTTTTGCTCCATGTTTTATGTTTCTTTTGCAAATAATGTCCTTAATTTAATCAGCTGGCTGTTGTGAGGCTCTGGGGACTTGCTTTAGAATGATGGAAGCCTGGTGGAAAAGTTATTAAAACTGTCATCTGCAATCATGTTTTGCATCTCAGTTTTTCTTGATAGGCTCAAAAGGTTTAAATTCTTTAATTTAGTTTGAGATCTATGTCATCATGTGATGATTTCTCAGTGATTAGGAAAGACAGATAAAGTAACAAAGTTTTAGAAACATTATTAGAGGACAAAGAAATTGTCCAAATATTCTATGGCATAAAATGAACGCTCAAGATGTAGATGGTAGGCACCAGCACATAATCACACAACACATCACATCTTAAGCTGGTGCTACAGGGGTGTTTTGAAGACAGCTATGATCAGGATTTGGTGGACTTACTTCCTGGTCAATGAGAAATAATCTTCCTCCTCTCTAGAACCTATGGAACAACGAGTCATCCAATGCAACTATCAAGAGAGATGAAAGGAAAAGCTACTCTACCCACAATGCTCCTTGTATCAATTTAAACCACTGTATCTAGACTGCCACCTTCTGTTGTATGAGCCTTCCAGTCTCTGTTGAGATAACCACTTGAAGAAGTATTTCTCTCTCTCTCTCAATCACTCATATACACACACACGAACACAATTATGTATACCAAGAGCCAGAATGATAGGTGATGGGCTGGCTGCAGGGTTAGATCACTTTTTAGAAGGATTAGACAAATTCACAGTGGACTTGTCTATCAACAATGAATAGCACGATAGTGACACGGGATGCCCATGTTCAAAAGGAACAAACTGACAGTTTCCACAATCCCCCAGTCAGCAGGGCTGTACAGTGTATCATCAGGACAGTAGGTACAGCAGCACAAGTTGCCTAAGAAAATTGTGAAAATTAGCTGCAGTTGTCTCTGGAGCCTCATAGGTTTCCAAAGGGCTCAGAATGGATCAGTTAGTTCAGAGTTCTACAACACCAAAAGTAACTTCTTCCATCCAAACAACACAAATACTTATACAGTATTGGTTTGCCAGGTGTTATTGGACTGAAACTCTCCATATCCCCAACCAGCATCCACGGCAGCGTGGGATGATGGGAACTGTGCTCCAACAACACCTGGAGAGCATCACATTCCCTTTCCTTGTGCCGTTTTAATCAGCGTTAAAATTGCACCAGCCAGAAGGAAGACAAAATAGCTTGTATACATTTGCAGAAATTCTACACATTTCGATATGCATGATGCATCTTTTCCCCCCTTGCACGAGAAACAATGCTATAGTTTTTCAGAGAATATACTGAGAAATATACTGAGGAAATAATGAGGAAATATTTTGTTTCCAAAGGAAATGGATATGTGCATTTTCCTTGAATTCAAATAAGGTGCGTTATATAAAGAAGAAGCAAAAGCACACTTGTTGGTGCCCATTTTTGAAAGACAAGTGCTAAAGAGTACTGTCATTATATTAATTAACTTAGCAGCCTTTACAACAAAGATTGTAAGGGCAGCCTTCACAGCAGGCTCTCAGACTGGCTTTACAGAAACAGAATAAAATTTATCAAAAGTCAGCACCATTGGGTTGAGGCTGACTACAGTTACTGTTTCAACACTTTCTTCTACTGCAGAATATTAAGTAGTAAGAAGTAATAACAGAACAAATGAAAGGCTGAAAAGTGATAATGGAACTGAAGTCAAAGAAAGAAGGGTTGCCGTCTCTCTCTTTTGCCTTTAAGATCCCCTCTCAAGATGAGTAACTATGCTCCTCCTTATCCCCATAGGGACCATTTCAGCTACACCATCAAATGTTTAAGAGCTGTTGATTGCAACAAGAAAGAGTTAAGGATCTTTTGGAAGAGGTTTAGGGAGTGCAGAGAACCATATACAGGAAAACAGTGAGGTGAGGGAATCTACTAAGTCATTTAATTAAGAGTGTGACTATTAAGATGCAATGGCTGAGCCAGGAATGAGTAGTCTGATTTTCCACTTTGCCTCCTGGGAGAAGAGCCAGGTTGTACAGCCTAAGGCATGGGTTTCAGGTGAAGACAAAAGAGGGCAATTTGTAGTAGTAGTAGGCATCCTTCAGTGTCGAGAGACTATGGTAACATGCTCTGTACGGAGGTCTTGGAACAGCGTCTGGTGTGGCTCAAAAGGCCAATTCGAGAGTGACAATCTCTTCCACACTAAAGACAAATCCAATCTGTCCCCTGTCCAGCTCCCTGGTTTTGCTCATTTTGGGACTGCCTCTTTGCCTCGGCCTGCTGTACAAATGTGCCCCTCACAAAACATTAAACTTGACATTTCTTTAAATGCAGGTAGTGTAAGTGGAAACTATAGTCAAGTCAACAATCCATAGATACCATTAACTGACTTTGCTGACACCCTCCCTCCCACAAAATTATTTCTTCTGACACCATTTGCCTTAGGCAAACTCCCTGTTCCCAGGACACCAACACAAAGAGAGAGTGGTAAACTATGGTTGACCACTTTATACCTAGAAAACAATGCCATAAGATGGAACTGTATTGATGGCATACAGTTACTATTTGAAAGGTGTTACCTGAACAACACATTAATAACAGTTTGATTCTATGATAACAGTCACAGTTCCATCCTAAGATCCTGGGATTTGTGATTTGGTGAGGTACCTAAAATTCTCTGTTTTAGTCCAGGCAAATGCACAGGAACTCTCTGGCAAAGACGTTGGAGGGTGTGACTGCATAGCAAGAAAAATGTGAATGGACCCATTGTGAAGTTGCACCTGAGAAGTCAGGCTTTCCCAGGTTAATTCACTTCAGCTGACCACAAAGAAGTTAGAAGGGAGGAAAGCAGCCTTGTTTGCAGCTTGTTAACCATTTGAATCCTCTCTTTCCCAAACCTGGTGCCTGGGTCTGCTTGTTTCCCTCTTCCCACCCCATTCCTTCCCTTCCCACTCCATTTCTTTCTTTTTTACTTTTAAAGGCTTGCTGTCCTAATGTCAGATCAACTTGGTGATGAAAAAAAGAAAATGTGTGTGTGCTGAGGGGAAGATCAGCAGAAAGAGAGAAGGAGGTTTTCAGCCTTTGAAGGTAGCTCTGCTCTGCTCTGGCTGTCCAGATTTGAAGGAAGCATAGTTAGAGAAGAGCTGCCTTAAAACTTCCTTCCCTACTTTTTTCTCTTTGGTTGTCCAGCTGCTCCAGTGATGGATTAACAAGTCTTGAAATGAAAAGAAAAGAAAGGAAAAGAAGGGAAAGGGGGTGGATAGCAGACCCAGGGACCAGGTGTGGGGAGGATTGCAATGACAATCAGTTTCCCCACTCACTGCTCCTGGAGCTGGCTGGAATAACTTTAAAAATAATGGCTTCAAACCACTTCACATCAGCTCAAGCAATCACATCATCTGAACTGTTTTATTTTAAATATTTTTCAAAAAAGCAGAAGTCCCAGTGGCAGAGGGAAAAACTGCGGATTCGTGGAGGAAAACTCTGGGCTGATTCACACCAACTTTTAAATCATGTGGTCAATGGAAAACAATGTGAATTGGACGTCCTGGAGCATTTCCTATGTTACTTGTCAATGTAGTCGCACCCTAAGTATCTCACCAAACTACAAATCCTGTGATCCCTTAAGGTGACAATCATGATAGTTGGTGGTATCAAGCTGATATAGGTGAGTAGCGCAGATAAACTGTGATATTTTCTTGACCATCCCTGCATCATTAAGCCAAGAAAAATCTGCCTTGGGCATATCTTCCCTTCCCATTTAATAGTGGTGAAAGGCAGGAGATCCCACTGTTCTCACCTTGTAAGCTTCGTCCCAATTTGCTGCCTCAGCTCAAGCCTCTCCTCATCAGTCTGCATAGGGAGGATGTTCTTTTCCTCCAGTTCACGTTTAGATGGTCTGTTGCTTAGTTTGATGGCTAAAGAATCCTTCCGGCAGACTTTCATTGCAAGGGAACCTTGGATCAAAAGAAACAACATTGGGGAAATGTTTTATATTAAACTTCATCCCAAATATCACATCATTTGTGATCAGATGCATGTCGTGTTTTGTTTTTTAGTTGCTTTAAAAATCTTCCTGTTTCCAAGGAACAGATTTTATGTTGACTGGTAAACTACAAGCCCATTTCAAAAGCCTTTTCATCTATTCAGAATGCAGTTTTTCTAAAGGCAAATATTATTTTATTCATTCATTTTATTTTAAATATTTTTACCCTGCCTCTCTCCTTAAAAAGGACCCTATGTGGCTTACATCATTAAAAACACAATATTAAAAACTACAAACAGCACATTTTTCAAATATGAAAGTAGAATTAATAACATTATATTAAAAATGTTAGGTAAAAAGATTACAAAAACAGATTTAGTAGCAATTAAATATAAACCATCCTGTTTATTGTCTCCTACACAGTCAGTCACTAAGGAAAAGTCTCTCGAAAGAGAAAGGGCTTCGAAAAGATGGGGCCAGCTTGGCCTCCCATGGGAGGGAGTTCCAGAGTCTGGGAGCAGTGGCAGAGAAGGTTCTCTTCCACTTCCCCACCAAGTGCCTCTGGGAGGATGATGGGACAGGCAGGCTCATAAAACAAGATACAGTTTTTGAGATAGCTTGGGCCCAAGCCATTTAGGGCTTAATAGCAGTGGTCCCCAACCTTGGGCCTCCAGATGTTCTTGGACTTCAACTCCCAGAAATCCTGGCCAGCAGAGGTGGTGGTGAAGGCTTCTGGGAGTTGTAGTCCAAGAACATCTGGAGGCCCAAGATTGGGGACCACTGCTTTATAGGTTACAATTAGCACTTTGAATTGTGCCCAGAAATGGATCAGCAGCCAGAGGAACTGCTGTAACAGGGGAGTTATGTAATCCCTGTAGCCAGTCCCACTTAACAAACCAGCTGCAGCATTTTAGACTCACTGAAGTTTTTAAGGACTTTTCATAGGCATCCGCATGTACAGCATGTTACAGTACTCCAGTCAGGATGTGACTAAGGCATGTGTCGCTGTGGCCAGGTCAGACCTCTCCAAGATACTAATTTTAATTGTGCAAAGGCACTCCCGGACACCACCATCATTACAGAGCTAAGCCTAATGTTTCTCTCCCTGTACACTAAGAGCCACATATGCATGCTATTTGGGAAAGTTGTTATTGTTTAAATCACTGGTTCTTAACTTTGGGTTACTCAGGAGTTTTGGACTGCAACTCCCAGAAGCCTTCACCACCAACTGTGCTGGCTGGGGTTTCTGGGAGTTGCAGTTCAAAAACACCTGAGTAACAAAGGTTAAGAACCACTGGTTTAAATCACAATTCCTGGAATTTGCCTGGGGAATTTTGTATATTAGGTTTAGCCCAGCAGTGCAAATACAGAAATGGCAGAGTAGTTCTGGTCTCACAACAGAAGATTCTTACTTGAAAATAATGAGGTTTCCTCATCTTCCTCTTCATCCTCTTCCTCTTCTCCTCCTCCTCCTCTTGTGTAGAGGCATGAAGAATCTTCATAGTCAGATTCATGAGGCACATTTTCTTTATTGTCATCACATTCGATCACAACAGTTGGCACTTGTCTCATGTCTGAAAGGCCCCCAGGTCCAGTTTTTGTGAGACTGTCACCCCCATGCAAACCAGAGCTTTTGGAAAATCAAGAAAGAAAGAGAAAATGGATTTATTTGCTGCTTAAGCATAAAAGGTTATGGTAAATACTTTCCATGGTTCAGAAGTATCCTCACTGCATACTTTTTCCTCTCATGGGATGAGATCTAAAAAACACAGATCTGCATGTCTGCACTGAGTATCAGCTGGGTGATTAAGATCCAAACTAGACTACACAGTTACCATGTCATTAGAAATGGAACTCCCTTAAGAAGTAAATGATGCCTGCATATCCCAGCATGAGGTTTCTTCAACTCTTCATGCTGAAAATGAATTTGTTTTTTACATTTTGTTATTGGTATGAAATTGCATATGAAATGGGAGCTGCAGTCCAGCAATATGTGGAACAGATGGTTCTATGAATGTTCTGCCAAGCCTCCTCTGGAATCAAGGGCCCGAAAATCAGGATAGAAAAATTAATGACCTTATAGTTTCCATCCTTCAAGAAAGGGTACACTTTAAACTACTATTGGAACTGGGTCCTCATCAAAACCGAGGCTATTTCAAGTCTCTAAAAGTGGAACTAATTCTGTCTTCATTCTGTCATGTAACTTGATAATATCCACCTAGGGAGCTCACAGAGCTGAGAAACACTACTTTTATTTAGACTATAACTTTTAGACTGTCTCCCCCCCAACTTATTATGACCAATGTCACCTGAGGGACTGTACACATTGTAGTCCATTAAAGTAACACTTCCGTATTCTGGTTACTCTAAGTATGAGGCAGACCTTATGCCCAATGTTGCAAAGGAGGCCTATAGCTATGAGATGAAATATATCATTCCTATTTTTTTCTAATGAACCTGAGCAGTTGGGATTGCATGGGTATCAAATGTCAGCCTTCCAACTATCGTAATGTGGAATACTTTAGCAAAAATGCGGCTCTAGTGATAAGATACAATAATTTGATAGATAGATAGATAGATAGATAGATAGATAGATAGATAGATAGATAGATAGATAGACAGACAGACAGACAGACAGACAGACAGACAGACAGACAGACAGACAGACAGACAGACAGTCACACACTCACTCACTCGCTTAAAAGCACTTTGAAGCATTCATTCCTGGCTTGCTGGCAGGAACCAGTCCCAGGATGGTTCAAGCATCTGAAGGGAAAATTGTCACACCCCTACATCCCACTGTTACAGTATATCACAGAAGTGAGTACACCCCCTCAGATTTCATAAATATTTTAGTATTATTTTTCATGTGACAGCACTGAAGAAATAACACTTGGCTACAATGTAAAGCAGTGAGTATACAGCTTGTAGAACAGTGTAAATGTGCTGTCCTCTCAAAATAACGCAACACACAACCATTAATTTCTAAACTGCTGGCAACAAAAGTGAGTACACCCCTAAATGATAATGTCCAAATTGGGCACTGTCAATAGTTTGTGTGGCCACCATTATTTTCCAGCACTGCCTTAACCCTCTTGGGCAGAGTTCACCAGAGCTTCACAGGTTGCCACTGGAGTCCTCTTCCACTCCTCCATGATGAAATCACAGAGCTGGTGGATGTTAGAGACCGTGCACACTTCCCATTACAGGATGCTCAATATGATAACATGATAACAACCCCAAACACCCCCCCCAAAACGACCACTGCCTTGCTAAAGAAGCTGAGGGTAAAGGTGATGGACTGCCCAAGCATGTCTCCACCCTACTGAGCATATATTATATATATTATATAATATATTTTATATACTGTATAATGGCAGTGGTAGTTTTGGAGGTGTGTTTGGTGTCTTTATCATGTTGGAATACTGCCCTGCGGCCCAGTCTCCAAAGGGAGGGGATCATCCTCTGCTTCAGTAGGTCACAGTACATGTTGGCATTCATGGTTCCCTCAATGAACTGTAGCTCCCCAGTGCCAGCAGCACTCATGCAGCCACAAACCATGACACTCCCAGCACTATGCTTGACTGCAGGCACGACACACTTGTCTTTGTATTCCTCACCTGGTTGCCACCACACACGCTTGACACCATCTGAACCAAATAAGTTTATCTTGGGCTCATCAGACCACAGGACATGGTTCCAGAAATCCATGTCCTTAGTCTGCTTGTCTCCAGCAAACTGCATGCAGGCTTTCCTGTGCATCATCTTTAGAAGACGCTTCCTTCTGGGATGACAGCTCTGGAGACCAATTTGATGCAGTGTGTGGCATATGTTCTGAGCACTGACAGGCTGACCCTCCCCCCCACACACACACTCCTTCAACCTCTGCAGCAATGCTGGCAGCATTCATATGTCTATTTCCCAAAGCCAACCTCTGGATATGACTCTGAGCACAGGCACTCAACTTCTTTGGTCAACCATAGCGAGGCCGGTTCTGAGCGGAACCTGTCCTGTTAAACCATTGTACAGTCTTGGCCACCGTGCTGCAGCCCAGTTTCAGGGTTTTGGCAGTCCTCTTATAGCCTAGGCCATCTTTATGTAGAGCAACAATTAATTTTTTAATATCCTCAGAGAGTTCGTTACCATGGAGTGCCATGTGGAACTTCCAGTGACCAGTCTGAATGAGTGAGAAAGATAACACCTGCTCCCCTTCACACTTGAGACTTGTGACACTAACAGGTCTCATGACACCAGGGAGGGAAAACGGCTACTTGGGCCCAATTTGGACATTGTCACCTAGGGGTGTACTCACTTTTGTTGCCAGCGGTTTGGACATTAATTGCTGTGTGTTGCATTCTTTTTAGGGGACAGCACATTTACATTGTTATACAAGCTGTATACTCACTGCTTTACATTGTAGCCAAGTGTAATTTCATCAGTGCTGTCACATGAAAAGATGTACTAAAATATTTATGAAATGTGAGGGAGCGTAGTCTGTGATATACTGTATATAGTTCAGTTTGCTCTTTTATCAGAGTACTCACCGCTACTCTGAAGCACATTTTATATTTTTCTTTCAAGCAAGACATATAAGCACAATTTGTTTTCTGAAGTTTTTGGCCTTGCACCTCATTTTTGCCAAATATCAGCATTCTGTGTTCTGTGTTCAGTGATTAAACTGCAGTACTGCAATCTAGACTCGGCTCACGACCTGAGTTCAATCCTGAATTCAGGTAGCCAACGCAGTCTTCTGTCCTTCCACGGTTGACAAATTGAGTATCCAGCTCAGGGGAGGGGGAACAATGCATAGCCTGCATACTTAAAAACCTATAGAGTGCTTTAAGTGCTATGGAGCAGTATATAAGCAGCACACTTTGCTTGTTTTTTAAACAAATTAATCTGTTATTAAACCTGATATTTGAACAAGTAGGGTAGCGTCTATAAAATTTTATGCTTTATTAATATAGTTAAAGATGCCATTGGACTCAGATTCTTTTATCTTGAACAATATTACTTCCTTGTGAGTGAGTCCTAAGCATTTTTATTATTATAATATTACATATGTGTGAAGCATAATCCCATTAATGTACACCCGGGAATGCATTCTAAATATCTTTATAGGAGCTTACTCCATAGTAGCACACTATAGATAACAGTCATACAATTATATGTAGTTTACATATTATGTAGATGCATGCAGTTTCAAGAGATCTAAAGCTAGCTGCAGTACTGCAATATGTGGGCTTAATGCTTATTTTGAGACTAGTAAAATGACAATGCTGTCACAAACATCCAGAAGAGAGACTGCTTGGTAGAAACAACATCTTAAAATGAATCACGTCTCTTCTCGAAAATCTACACTAATCTCCTTAGACATTAGCACATTTGCCAAAACAGAGAAATGGCAAAACACCTTTGAAATACATGAGGACCTGTCAGCGCTTTAGATACTTTGTCCACATACATTATGGAAAGAGTGCCTGCTTTTTCAGGATGAAGCTTTCTAATCTCCTGATGAGTGCTGAAGTTAACTGACATAATCTTGACAGTGAATGCAAGTGAAATAATTGGGATATTGTTCTGATACTAAATGTACTGCTACAGGCTTATGAGAAATTTTCTGGGGCCATGTGCCCCTCCTCTTGAGCTCTGAACCAGTGAAATCAAAACTTTGAAACACTGAGTGATTTTGTTTATAATTTTGCATACTTCTGCATGTTTCTCACACACACATATATAATATCCACGATGATTCCCCAGGTATCTATATGGGGAAGCAACTGTAGCCCTGTCCTCAAATCTTTGATTTAATTACTACTTTTTAATCCTAGTTTTAGTCTTTCCTATAAATCCAGAGGGGCTAAAAAATCTTTTATTTTAAATAAATGAAATCTGAAATTATCAGGATGCTGAATACAAGAATCTCACCAGCACATGATAAACCATTTGATTTGTTCTGCTCCTAAGAGGGGCAGAGGTCTCTTGTCGATTATTTAAACCGCAGAAGCCTGTGCTGCAGGGTCAGAAGACCAAGCAGTCGTAAGATCGAATCCAGGCGACAGAATGAGCACCCGTCGCCTGTCCCAGCTCCCGCCAACCTAGCGGTTCAAAAGCATTCTCTTGTCGATTATTTAGAGCCCATATGAGGCTCCCTAAACATGTTATAGCACCATTACCTCCCTTTTTTCCATGAAAGGAGATTCTGATTTTGAGATGGTCAGTCATAATCCCATATAAGCCTGAGAATACTAGACTACATTCTTGCTCAGTATTCGTATGGCAATCTAGGATAGGCATTCTCTCTGGAAAATAGCTATTTAGTGTAAGTGAGCCGATTTCGAGCCTATTGTGGTTACAGCTCCTTTGCCTCTCCTCCTCTGATGGAACTTAAGCCTTTGGCAGCCTGTGATCAACTAGGAGTTGTGAACAGAAGCAAATTAAATCACCTGCCATCTGTTTATTAACAAAAATATACATCCTGGTACTTGCAGACTTTATAGAAACGAAGACATGTATTAGTCTGGCAAAACGAATATCAACTGTATGTCCAATGGTGAGAAAGCTAATTAAATTACGTGGATGGTAAAAATACCCGATTGTGCAATTAACACCAGGACTTTATGGATAGAATCAACAGCCATACAGGAAATTCATGGGAAACCCAGGGCAATTTACTGTAATTAACTCTTGTCTTATTAATCATTAACTGTCACATTCTGGCTTCGCAGACATCAACTGTCATATATTTGTTGTTACATGCCATTAAGCCACGTCCAATTTATAGTGATCCTATGAATGAGTAATCTCCAGAATGTCCTGTCCTCAACTGCCCTGCTCAGCTCTTGTAAATTCAAGCCAATAGTTTCTTTTTGAGAGTCAATCCATCTCATGTTTGGTCTTCCTCTTTTCCTGCTGCCTTCCACCTTTCCCTGCATTATTGTCTTTTCCAGAGAATCTTGTCTTCTCATGATGTGCCCAAAGTAAGACAACCTCAGTTTCAAAAATTTTGCCTCCAGAGACCGTTTGTAGAGCCACTACTCTGGGCAGCAAAGAAATCCTAATGACACAGTACAAATAACCCAAATAACACCCACATAATCAGTAAACAGAAAACATAATAACAAAAAATAAAATAGCTTGTAAAAATAAAGACTATAAAATATTTCAAAATATTAAGTATAATAATTCGAGGCAGCAAAAACAGGGCAGGTTCATAAGCAAAAGAAGAAGGAAAAAAACACCCAATCAATTGGCAAGATTACTCTGGAGTAAGGCCATAAAAGGCTTGTGAGAAAAGCCAGGTTTTAATTTGTCTCCTAAAACCAAGGCGGGATGGGGCTAATCGTACCTCAGATAGAAGTGAGTTTCAAAGTGATGCAGCGACCACCAAGAGTGTGAAAGATTTTTGGGACTCCCTTAGGGCTGCCACCCACAAATACGGGGGAGATGGCTAGACGTTTCGAGGAAGAGGTGCTCCAGACAGGTAACAAGATCCTAAACCATTAAGGCCTTTAAATATTAGCATAAGTACTTTGGACCTGGCCTGGAAGCATACAGGCAGGCAGTACAGATGCGCCAGGACAGGTGACATATGATCAAACTGTGATGTTCCAAAAACCACCTGGCCACTTTCTGCACTTGCTGCAGCTTCCAAACTACCTTCAAAGGCAGCCCAAGGTAGGGAGCGTTGCAAATTTTGAGTCTGACCAGTGCCTCATCAACTAAATATTTGCCAGACAGCAGCTCTCAATGCAGGATTTTAACTAGCCTCTATCTTGAGAGGTGGGATTGAACCTGCCTGCATCCTTCTCCTAGTGAAACATCTGCTCTGCCACTAAGCTATGGCCACTGTTTCTTCTGAATAAGCAGGACAACATATTTCAGAACTGTACAATCTTATAAACCAATAAACGGTGACACCTAATTCACCATCTCCTTATTTATGTGTTTTAGCACCTGGGGCTTGGAAATACTAGCATTAATAGCAGCACATGAACATTAAATCATTAATGAAAATAAATGTGACAGCTGCTATTAATTGCCTTCACAAGCCAGATTTGGAAAGGGGCCCTTTGCCATAGACATATTGGCCAGAGTCCTATAACTCACCACCCTCAGATAAGCAACAGGGGATAAATCACAGCAGCTAATTGCCGCTAGTTAAGTCAATAAAGGAAGGCATCTCCTGAGTTTGCAAGAGCTTAGTAGGACGGTTAGCAATAAGAGATTCCGGGTCATAGCCCCGACCTTGTGTGAGAGGCTGCTATGTCTCTGTGTTCCTTTTTCCCCAGCCCCTCAGTCAAAAAGAAACTTTGTGTTTCAAAAGCAGTGGGTGGGTGGGGACAGAGTAATTTGCAAACCTTTTGGTCTCAAGAGTGGGGTGTAAAATTCTAATCATGTTGCAAGGGAGACCACATACACCCAGATTATGTCTGCTACCTGAGTCTGAAATCACCTCTCCAAACAGACTGGGCAGATTGCTACCATCAATTTTTGGGCTCTTATCTACAATTTCCCTGGATTGTCTTTGAATGTGGTGGTGCTTAGCCTGATGAAATAGAATCTTCTCCACAAAAGCTTGCCATATGTTTGATTTTTTAAGTGATCTAATAAAAAGTACCACCCATTCTTAGATTTTTGAGGTTTTGGAGGTCACTCATTCATAGGGTCGCTGTTATGTTGGAGGAAAACTGACAACAGATAAAAATAAGTCATCAGTCATTGTATTTCCTGTCACACACCAGTTGTGCAACATGTCATGCAACAATAAATGCAAACACCAACTTATTAACTTGCACAACTTGCCACTGAAATTTGCACCACTGGACAACACTCGAAGAAATATTCAGTCGGATGCTGGTGTATATTTCAATTATGCCAGCTATTTGTATGTGGGTTGACATGTTAGTCTGTTGCAGCAAAAGCAAACAAAGATCCATGTGGCAAGTTACATTTTTATTTGGCATAAACTTTCATGTACTACTGCCCACTTCAGCAGATACATTGTGCATTTGATGCCATTAACTACAGTCTACAAGTGCTTATAACAAGTAAAACTTGTTATTCTTTAAAATGGTCCAAAATGTTGTCATCGTTACTATCTTTTTAATCCTTACTTATTTTCTTAATCAACAGGGCTTTGTGTCAAAATGAAGGCAGCAAATAGGGCACGAGAAAAATTTTCTAAGCATAATCCAACTACATTTAAAAGCTGCTATAATGATCATAATCACTAAACATTTGAACCACTATTCTGAACAAATACAGATACAAATATGAGGGAATAAAAATGAAGGTAGCAGTAGTATCTGTAACATCATTACCACTGTCAACATAAACCTGTGTAATCCATAGAACTGATAGCTATTATTTTTAAAATTCGTAAAACTGGCAAATGATCTAGGGAGCATCCAATGCTCAAATAATTCTGCTTGCAGTAACATAGATAAATGAATTAACACCAAATAGTTTTCCAAAATATGTTACAGTAATGCCCCCCTCAATTCCTACAGCATGTTTTATGCAAAAAAGCAATTATTTCAAAGACAGCAGAAATCATCTAATTTGTCCACACTCTGTTATATTCTACAATGTCTGTAGCTTTGTCCTTTTTCCAAAAAAACAGTGAATATTCAGTGAATATTTATGCATGGAACCAATCTACAGGAGGACAAGAATAAAATTGGGCAGCATTACCACCATTCCCATAAGAGATTTAAAAGCTGTTTGCCAGACTACTGACAGCTCAGGCATACTCTTTTTTCTGTATAGAAATGGGAACCATATTTCAGTCATACTTACCCAACATGTTATTTCTAAAGATATATGGACAGTACTTGCCATCTGCTCTCAGGGAGGCCCACACCACTCCGTTTCTGTGCAAGCCACCTGAAGGTAGCCAAGCTCTGATGGCTTGTCTACACTTCCCGGCAGGAATGCTTCAAGGTTTCAGGCAGAAGTCCCCCTCATCCCCACTTGAAGATGCTAGGGATTACACCTGGATTTTCTTAAGGTAAACTGATATGCTACTATTTGCACACGTTTGCACTGTGAATGATTCAAACAGACAAAGGGCAGAATGTCTGCTCTCAGCAGAGGTTGACTAAAAAAAGGCAAAGCCGAAACTGAGATGCAGCGTCCCTTGCGGGCAGATATTTCAGGCTCATTAGAACATAAGGAGAGTCCTGCTGGATCATGTTCAGTGTTTGGGTAAGTTATTCTTTAGATTTCAGCTCCCAAAATGCCCCATGGCTGGGGAATGCTGAGAACTCTAATCGAAAAGAAGGGCAACTTCTCTAAGCTCTGCTCAGATGGAAGATCCATCTAATCCTGCACTCTGTTCCCATCACTGCCAATCAGATTCCTCTTGGAAGGCTATAAAAAGAAGGCATGAGGGCAACAGACCCTTTCACAAGATACTTCGATTTTAAAATTATAGTTTCTCTCCTGTATGCCGCTTGTCACTTACAGCACAGTTTTGTAGTGACCAAGAGAAAAGAAGGCCAAGATAAGAAAGAAGAGTGTGTGACTCAAAAGGCTCCCTTACCTTTCCAGCCTCTGCATGGTCATGGCTAGCGTCTTATTCAGCTCGTCAATCATGCGGCATCCTGAAGGGTGCATCGGTAATGTGCTGGATCCAGAAGGCAAGTGAGGGCTGTGGCTGCTGTATTGATGCTGGTGTGCGGCTAACTGTGACGGCAGAACCGTGTGGTGATGTGAAGCCATTGTTTGCTGGGAGCTCTTCTGTGTGGAATAGGATGCGAGGGAGAGGTCTGGTCCCCCTAAAGGCATGCAGATCATGACTTTCTTTGGAGGTAGTGGAGGCGACAGTTTGACTGGCATACAAGGCAGTTTCACAGGAGCACCAGGATCTAAAACAGAACATTTCTTCATCAGGAACTGAGACATGAACTTTGAGATAAAAATAAGACATCACAATTCCCAACTCTCTCTCTCTCTCAAATCAAAGGTTACCCTCCTTCTCCTTGGGTTGTCCTCATATGCAGCTCCACTATCTGTGAGAGGACATGCCAATCAAGGGAAAGGGTCAACCAGGGCCCAGCAATTAGTCCTAGGTGGCTGCAATATTCTTACAGAAACTGCAGCTCGAGAATGAAATGCAACGAAGACTAATAATGCAAGATCCCAAGGGTCAAGCAACTCAGACTGGGTCAGTACCCACCTTTTCCTCCTGCTATCTCCCGTGATCATTGTACACTATTACAAAGACCTACATTTCAATTGGGAATTCACAGTATTACAGCTATGCTCAAACATTTACCTATTTACGTCCACAAGAAATCAAAACTCAATGCAGATAATCAAAACCTGATGTCAATGGAAGGAGATTTGTTTTCCCCAAGATTACAAACAATGATTCTGGGTGAGCTGAGTTATGATCAGGGTGCATCCAATTTCTTTATGTATGCATAATTGTAGACACCTTGATCATAACTCAACTGACTTGCCTCAATTCTAAGCTAAGGAGTTCCCATTATTTAGTTCTTTCTGAGCTAAAGAACCCCCTCATAACCTTTCTTTACAAAAGGGTTGTCCTAGTCTCTTTATCACTTTGGTTCTATTTACTTTTGAGATTCTGAAATAATCTTTCTCAGAAATGGCCACAGCATCACAAGCTGATCACACCATGGTTGTATAAGGGCTGTATGACACTGGCAATACTATTTTTTTTATATAATCATGTTCCAAGAGGAAACCTGCCTTTTAAAAAACATTTGCCACATACTAGATTCACATTTTCACTGGATTATATATATCACAATCTATTGGATAGTCACCAATAGGTCACACCTCTACATGATGCAAAGTAAGGATTACCCAGGGTATACCACTATACTGTTCAATGCAGAGTGGCTAAATCTCTGGTTGGTTCCACTGCCAGCTGTTCTAGGGGCACTGTGGGACTGTGTAGCTTGACTATGGACACAGAGGTTGGATTTCCTTGCAGGAGGCAAAGAAAAGATTTGAACTGCTGACCCACAGCTACATAGTACTGTAGTCCCAAGTCACGGGGCTACTCCGCCGTCTACTTATAAATAATTACATACCATCAAGTCATATCCAGTTTATACCAACCCTTTCCTGGGCTTTCTAGGTATAGAATTCTCAGAAGTGATTTATCATCTCTTCTGGGTTTCTTCCCTGGGACTGTGCAGCATGCCCAAAGCCACCCAGGATGGCTCTACTACTACAAAACAGAGTGAGGAATTGAACTCCTGATCTCCAGCCCCCACAGCTGAGTAACCAATTCACTGAGCTATCCAGCCTCATGATCCTGTTTACCTCTTTAAAAAAATATACAAGTGAACAAAAAATAGAATGTATTGTCTACAAACTGTTAAAATATTTCGAATATCTTTAAAACGAAAAAAGCCACTTTGCATAAATCTTCTGCATGCAGATTGACACCATCCATATGCTTTAGCTATATTTTGTAGCAATTATGACACTTATAAAAACAAAACAAAACAACTTAATTTAAGAAAGAGGCAATAAAGAGAAAAAAAAAAACCAAATCTCCAGTTACACTGAAGTATGAAAATGAATAAAATCTTATGGTTGAAACTGAATACAGTATTTGGGTAATACTATTTCTTTTTTTTTTAACCAATCTGTTTTCTATTTTAATTCTATTTGCTTATTAAATTTTATTAGTGATATCCACCTTGAGCTTTTTTGGGGGGTGAGGGGATTAAAGGCAAGTTATAAAATTAAAAATTAAGGAAATAAATCCATCAACCTATTCATCCATCTTATCCTATCCTCAAAAGAGTGACTGGAGAGGTTGAATTCATACCGAACCATTCACAAAACTCAGTTTCACAGACCTCATAATGGGAGGAAAGAATGAAGATAAATTCTGTGAAGATGAACCCTCATAAGAATTTCTATAATCTATTTCTCAATGAAATATTTTTTGGAATCTCCTGTGATAGCTTCTGCAAAGTACTATGAAGCAAAATGTTGGTCACTATCACTTCCTATGTCTTACTTTTCTTCATCCAAAATCCTCAGCAGAAAACAAACACACACTTGCAAAACAAACAAACAAACAAATAAAATGCTGGACCTATATCACAAAACCTGACGGTTTCATTTTGACTAACAGTTCTTATTATAAGATTTCCTTCAAACAGGGCCCAAATATGCCTCTAGAGATGCTGGACCTATATCACAAAACCCGACAGTTTCATTTCGACTGCAACAGTTCTTATTATAAGATTTCCCTCAAACAGGGCCCAAATATGCCTCTAGAGAAATTAGTAATGGAATAGGGTTAATTTATTTTCAGCTTCAAAAATCTGATTCATTAAGGCTCATTACACATTTCTGAAGACTATGCAAATCAGAGTGCATAGTGATTTTAGAAGGATCTTAGAAATGTGTATCTGTGGACCCTTACACCTTGATTCGAAGTGTGTTTGTTTAGAAAGAAGCCCTTGCAATTTCATTGAGATCAGAAGTCAAACTACATGTTACAACCTAGTGATATGACCTGTTAGCCTGATGGCTCCATCTCTACTGCAAGTATTCTCAGGGGAAGAAGTGGCAACACAGAAGCACACTCACACAAGTGACTGAGAGTGAGAAAAAGATGGTTTAACAATCCCCTTGCCCACTGTTTCCTCCTTTTCCCCAGGTGCTATTCCACCTATGGTACTCTGCATCTTTGTCAACAAGAAAAATACAAAGCAAACCCACAGATGATTTGAAAGTTTATAGGCAGGGATGGATGTTTAAAGAAAAAAAAACAGGAAACAGGAGCGGGTTTGAGTTTAAAAGGAATTCTGGGTTGTTTCTGTTAATGTTCACAAATTCCTGGTCTCAGCATATGCTCAGAAGCACCCTGCTCCATAATTATGGCCATATATCTGCCCATCTGCCCAATGCATTATTCCCCTGGGAGCATTTTGGGGAACTCCTGTGTTCCATAAAAATGAAACCAGAATCCCCAGGAATAAGTTTGCTTTCTTTGCTCTACCCGACAAATGCTCATGGTGCAATGAATGGCTCCATCTTTAAGATTCTAAAAAGAGAAACAGAAAAGATGGGAACTTTGCAGTTAGAAGCAGAGCTGCCATAAGAATTAAAGCTTCCTAGCTGTGCATGTAAATTAGCTTGACTTTACAGTGGTGCCTCGCATTACGACATTAATTCGTTCCAGTGAAATCGCTGTAGAACAAAAACGTCGTAATGTGAAAATAAAAAGCCAATTGAAACGCATTGAAACCCCTTCAATGCGTTCCAATGGGCTGGAAACTCACCGTCCAGCGAAAATCCTCCGTAGGGCGGCAATTTTCGGTGCCTGTGCAGTGAGGAAACCATCCCAGAAAACAGCGGGGAGCCATTTTATTTACCCGGTGGCCATTTTGAAGCTGCCAATCAGCTGGAGGAAAATCGTCGTTTTGCGAAGAATCGGTTCCCTTAGCAGGGAACCGATCATCGCAAAGCGAAAAAAACCCATTCAGACCATCATTTTGTGATTGCAATTACGATCGCAAAAAGATCATTGTAATGCGGTTTTGTTGTAATGTGGGGCAATCGTAAAGCGAGGCACCACTGTATTTGATGACTGGTCATCAGGAGGTAAAAAACCAGGCAGCTTGGGCTTCATGCTGATTGCGCAAACATGACAGCTCTGAAGAATACATTCAGAATAAATATAGGAGGGGGAGGAGTGTGTGTGTCACTGTAGCATTCCCCTTTATTATGTCAATGGTTCATGTTTGTTATGTTAATTGTTCATGCATATTGATGTTGCTGAGAGGCGGAGCCGAGGATATGTGATAAGGGGATTCAAACCCAGGTCTCCTGAGTCCTAGTCCATCACTCTTTCCTGTACATCACACTAGACCAATGGAAATGAATTTCAAAAGCAGGATTCAGCACCACTTTCTGTTATATAACCAATTGTGCACTGCAGACCACATGTATACACTAAGTCTTATGCTCTCACTTGCATAACAATTAACATCCAGACCAACTCTGCTGGTCAAGTTTTTCATTCCACTAGCAACATGCTGGATCTAAGGTACAGGACTTAAGAAGGGCACATCCTACAGAAAACTGTAAATGGCCAAAGAAGTATTGGAGTTCAGAAAGAAAGAAAGAAAGAAACTGGTGATGAGCTAGAATGTTACAGATGCTATACCTTCTACACAACCAATTATTTTAATTAAAACACAACAGACATGTGATGAAGGGTATATTTGCATAGAATATTTCAAGTGATTTAACTGCAATTTTCTCTCCTTTAACAATAGTGGGAAGCACAGCTACAAAATGAAATGATTCAGAAATTCTTGGTACCCACACTATACTTCCCAGGATTATTTAAAAGAGGAGGTCAAGGATAAAACTGGTATAAAATTGAGATATTTCTGAAGTACAGATAGGCTGCACTGATCCATGCAATGGCCTCCGATAAATTCTATCCTTCACCATGACAAAGTCAGCCTGAGAAGTCCTTGATCTATGTCTATTAAAAACCAGCAAATATTTGAATGGGTAAATTTGTATTGTCTGATCTTATATTTGCAAGTCATTGGCACATGCATTTTACTAACAAAATGAGTGGCAACAACAAAAGCTTATGTATTTCAGTTTTATGGAGAAAATGTGTTTTGTTTAGAGTTACAGAGGGAACTCTGCTTTTAAGGGAGGTGGAACAAACCATTTGGAACATACTTACTTACCAGCTAAGTGGTTGGCAATCCTGGCAATGGGTTTGGGTGGCAGGGCAGGGGGCTGTTTGAGGAGGGAGAGCTGTTTCACTGGGGTGTCCTCATGGTCTCCAGAGAAAGCAGCAGTTTTTTTAGGGGGAAGTAGTAAGACAGGTTTAGATGAAGAATCTTGAGATAGGTGGACTCCAGATTCACTGGACGTGGGACTCTCTTCAGACACTGGAGGACACAACCACAGCACAGACGCAACAACGTTAAAGCAAAGCGGCGGTAGGTAGACAAGAAGCAGCAGCAGAGCAATGTGGATTTAAAAACAGAGCTAACAGTAGAGTTTATCTCTCTCTCTCTCTCTCTCTCTCTCTCTCTCTGTATGTCTCTCTATATATATACTGTATATGAAGGAGAAGGAAAAGAAGGAGCAGGAGTGGGAGGAGGTGGCGGCAGCAGCAGCAGAAGAAAAAGAAGAGACAGTAATTCTTCATGAAGAAACTGAAAGAAACTGAAAACAAATTATTGGGCTTTCACAAAAGGCAATAAAACTCTCACTATCAACATAGACATTATTAATATTATTTTTTTGGCAGATTCTAAAAAAATATTTGGAATCCAGCGGTAAATTCTTGTGCTCAGCTTGTTTTCTTCTGAAGCCAACTTGACTGCAACAACACAATTGAATAATCTGCAAGTAGCTAGCAGTGTAACTTAATTTAGAAGGATATGTGTCAGCATTAATTACTCTTGTGACTCAGTTGCTGATGAACCTAAAAGTAACTAGGAACTTTTGCAGGACTCCTGTCAAGCCTGCAATTCCCAAGCTTTCTCCACTGAGGATACCTTTCCCACACTGAGTCATCTGCCACAAGACTCCTTCCTATACAGTATTTTACAGTGGATTCTGAAGCATATCCCTTAGGCACCCTCACCAAGCTTCCGACCTGACAGAATACATAGAAAACTCTCTCTATTACTGCACAACTCAAGGAAAGGCTAACGGAAATGGGGAAATCTTCTTCCAGGACGATGTGTCTATCATTATTGTTTTTCTCGCACTGAACTCCCTTTGAACAAATCTGAATAAAGGAGCTCTTCCAAAAAAGAAGAAAACTATGCCAATATCGATATTTTTGACAACAAATTTCAGACCTTTCAACTGTTATCCATTATTATGCTAATAAATAATTTTCAGATGTACTATTTTACCCTAGTAATCAATCAATGGGGCCTGTGTTCAGCCATCCTCATCTGAAGATGGAGGCTTTCTTTCTCCTCTCTGACTGTATAATCAGATGCAGCTATTTCTGCTCTGATCCACATTAAAACCCCAAGAAACGAATGGTCCTTGCTGTGCCTCAGCTACGCAACTTGAAAGTGAAATATTAAGAGCTGTTTATGTCTTGGTCGCCTCCTGAATTTTATAAAGAATTGGCCTTCCTTCTCGTTATTATGTGGGCTACTTAATATGAATAAACTGTTGGGATCATAACAACCTTGCACAACACTGGGTATAAGTGGGAGGGAGCTTTCACAAATTAAGGTGACTGCCTCTTTTGCCACTAACCAAATGGCAGAGCTCCTCCCCACCCTGCCAATGGCTTCCACCCCTTCTCTTCCTGTTTGCTTTGGCTTGCTCTCTTTGCTCTTGTCTCTTTCAGCCATGTCATCATGAAGGCAGTTTCTCCTGCATGTGGAGACTGTAACCTTCCTTGTATTCTTCTGTTTGTAATTACTGATAACAACTATACGTAAAGATATGGTTTCTTTTTCTACTTAAAATGTTTCCAGAGTGATCTTTTAACATATACAGTACTGTAAAGTGCTAGTTACTATGAAGGGGGTCAGTTCTGAAACTTGAGCTATTCTCTTACACATTCGCTCTGCAGTTGTTGTTTGTACCTGATACTGTACTCTGCTAACCTAATGGAATTATCAATTATCCACAATATAAACCTTATTCAGTGTATCTGAAAAGAAAAAGTCATCATCAAACAAATTCCCCTTTTAACTTGTGTCATTTCACTGAAATTGTATTTCATAATCTGTTTATATAGCACAAAATATGATGATTCATCATAAACTACAATGGCTGAAACCACAAGATCATACATAAGAAAGCTTAGAAGTAATGAATCACAAGTAATGATCTTATGTGTAAGGAGACCAATGAAAAGTAATGACTAATGCAATACCAATGAGTAATGGCTAACGCAGCTTTGAAGATAACATTCAACACTATGATTACATAAGAATAATTTTGTAGTAACGCGTCCAGTTTGAAAAGAGTGTACCATATTGAGACAGTAAATATAAAAAGATTGTATTAGTGTACATACATAAGATGAAAAGCCCTATTTTACTGCATTAAAAGTCCACCTAAATCAGATGCCTCTGAAGCTGAAACCATGAAAGCATTAGTGTTTTAGACTATAATTCCCAGAATCTCATAACCACCATGGCCACTGGCTCTGCTGGGGAGTCTGGAAACTATAGATCAGAGAAGTAACTCTTTCATACTACAGATTACCCTTCATGTATTCCCACACAATTCCACCAGACACCCCTGTATTCCTAAATTATCACAAAAAGAAAGAAAAATCTTTTCCCCCCATTTTCTCCACCATATAAACCTCCAACATAGTCCCCATTATTATAATATTTTTTAAAAAGCAACTTTAAAAATTTCAACCTTTATAGCTTCCTTGGAGGGAAAGTATTCAAATCCTCAGATAATTCTGGCTGCTGTTTTCTGCATCTTTTCCACCATTAAAATATTCTTTTTAAGACAGGGTGAGCAGAACTGTACTATAAACGGGCAGCAGTCCTCTTCCTCTTTGTCCTGCTTGCTTTTGTTGGCACTTTTTTGCCACTTTCAACCATGCCATTAAGAAGGCAGTTTTGTCTGCATGTGGAGACTATAACTGTCCTTTTTATCCTTCTGTTTTCTAGCCTTACAGTATTCGTTTTAAGACAGAGTGAAAAGAATGATACTTATTTCTAAAACTTGGTAGCAACCACAGATTAGTCAGTATCACTTCCTGTCCCTTTCCTAATGATCCCTATAGCCAAATTCCCCGTAGCTAAGTAATGTTCCCTGTGCCTGTTCACCAATGCTACACAGCAACCTGCAGTTCTCCCTGAGCTTTCCATCAGGACAGCAAGATGTATTGGTGTGAATTAAGGCTAGCAATGTGCAATTTAGTCAAAGGTGCAATTAATAATTTTCTGCTATAAAGTCAATTCAGACTTTCTACGGTTTACTAGGTAGAGAGTGGAAGATAGGAGGGCCTGGCGTGCTCTGGTCCATGGGGTCACGAAGAGTCGGACACGACTAAACGACTAGACGACGAGGTAGAAAGTACTGAGAAGTGGTTTACCATTCTCTTTTTCTGGGGACCCCTGGGATTGTGCAGCTTGCCCAAGGGAGCCCAGGCTCGTTCTTCTGGGAGACATAGTGTGGAATTTGGGTATCTGCCTCCACAGCCAGATACCCAACCCACTGAGCAATTCAGTCAGCGAGTTTTTATACAAACATCAGAGACTAAGGTTCTGCATATTATCAGGATCCAGACACTTTAGAAGAATAAAGAATAATAATCACTACATATCAAATAATTACAATCACAATAGTGACAAATGTTAGCTCTTTATATTGGAAGTTGCTCTTTAATTCACTTGCCTATGAAATTAATTAAGACAGGTATGATTCTTGGTCACTGGTAATTAGACCTCATGTCATCACCTAATTCCGGGTGTTTTCTTATTCCAAAGCAGAGTACATCCATTTGGGTATCTCAGCAACAAAATAAAATAGAATAAAACAAAATAAAACAAATGAATCAATGTTCTCTTATTTCCTGCACAATTTATTATAGAATTCAGAGGCTACCTGTTCCATCCATGATCTCTGGAGTTGGGAGTACTTCATAAGTACAGGAATCCCCAGATGCAGAACATGACTCCAAGTCAGATAGGGCTGGGAGTGAAAGCTGACTAGAACTCAAAGCCTGACCATTCTCCAAAGATCTTTCTTCATTCTGTATGGGAAGTTCATCTGCAAAAAAACACAAGAGTTGTGTGAGAGAAACATGATGAGTACAATTAGGTTAAGTTCCAATTTTCTTTTTTTTTAAAAAGACAGCCTGGAGAATGTGATTCCCTGTTTCCCTTAGCAGTACACCACACATCTTACAGGCACAGCCTTAATACATAATAGCTACATAGCTATCCAGCCATATTTTGACAGACTCGGGCTTCCTCAGTTCAGAATGACAGAGGTAAATGATATTAGGTTGTTGTATTGTATGTTCCTAGCATAACTGAATGAAGATGCTGCAGTAGATTCCCTTTATGTGGTGGAAGTGGTCCAGCAGCTCGAAAGGGTTGCACACAGGATTCAAAGACTAGGTAACAATCTCTCTATCTGGCTTAATTGACACTTTCCTCTTTTTCTATTACTAAAATTTAACTTATAGCTTTGTTATGCATTGGTCAGTATCCCCTTACAGAGATCCTCTAGCATAGTGGGAGTGATGCCACCAGCAGACTCTCACTAATTAAAAAGGGCTTTCTTTGAGGGGGGGGATGCATATAACTTGCACACATGGTTGAAATCTTGAGCTTTGTTATGCATGTGGAAGGCAAACAGCACAACATCCAGTTGCTTCTATTTAACAATGAACTGCTGGATAGCTCAGTGGCTTAAGTATCTGGCTGCGGATCTAGAGGTTGGGAGTTTGATTTCCCACTGTGGCTCGACAGGGGCCACATTTAATGATCCACGGGGTCAGCTCTGCAATTCTAAGTGTATTATTATTATTAGGAGTCACTGCTGGGACTCGTGGGAGTGTGTATGCCCATTGGCATTACATACACTTCCAGCAGGGACTTGTTAATTGCCAGCTAGAAGTGTCTGAATGTTATGCTATTTGCCTTCTACAAAGCAAAAGGATTTCAGGACAGGGGCCAGATCTGATTATCCATGGGGTCAGCTCTGCAATTCTAAGTGTATTATTATTATTATTAGGAGTCACTGCTGGGACTCTTGGGAGTGTGTGTGCCCATTTGCATGGCATACACTTCCAGCAGGGACTTGTTAATTGCCAGCTAGAAGTGTCTGAATGTTATGCTATTTGCCTTCTACAAAGCAAAAGGATTTCAGCCAATGAAACAAAACTCTTCACATCTCAAAATCAAAAGACGGACTCTGATTGGTGTCAATCTGCTGCTGCCAACAATGTCATTCATATTGTACCAGTGGAACTCTGCAGGAAAATACTAGCCAATGAGTGTGGTTTAGCTGCACCTTTGTTATTACCAAAGAAATCTTTGTATTTTGCCCAAGGCTAATGCAGATGCTTGAGCTGCTATTGTCTCTCTGTTTGCAAAAAAGAGAAATCTCCATACTGTCTCTTCCCAATAGATTTCACTTGCATATCCACGGGACTCCCTGACTCATCAAGCTCCACTTTATACATACTCAGCTGGTGGTCTGCAACTGTCTTTAATTGTAGGTTCCCACAGCTTTAACCAGCTAGTCACATTTTTGGACATCCACACCTTTTTTTCCTTCCTCATTTTTTTTTACTGTTTTATCTGAAGAGTTCTAGAGACCTTAAAAGCTCCCATGTTTTGTTTACTTATAGTTGATTCTAATACAGTAAACTATTGCCCACCTTTAGATTTTGATTTACAACAGGATTGTAACTTCTTGCACAAAACGTGGTTGGCACAGAGCTGCTCATGGTGGAGTGGGGCCCTAACTTCTGCCCCAGGTCCCTGTAAATCAAGCACCCCTCACCTTGACCCTTGTGTGCACGGATTCCTGCTGCTGCATCATTCCAATGCTTAAGAGAGCTCCCCTTAGTGATAGGGCCGCCACCATCCCATTTATGCCTCTTTCCTTCATAATAGTGATTTCCATAATAGATAGTTCATATTAATCAGTACTTAAACAATTCTGCTTGTGGACTTATTTGATCCCATTTACAAGACTGCCTTCCAATGATTTATCAATACTACAGTTTCTGAACAATTTGTGACAGTTAATGGAAAATATCCGCTAGGACAAAAAATGCCATCCGAATTCATAAAACCTGGCATAAATCTGTGGAGCTAATCATACATTTACAGGGTTTTGAATGAAAGATATCAATGGACAGTATTTTCAATGATGTGCCACTAACCAGTGAACTGGATAAGAAATGTGACTCTGGTTATTACACTAAAGAAACCAACTAATTAAAAATTCCCCAAAGAAGATACTCAATGAACAAGAAGATGATGAATGTATGCATTTCTGTATAGCTTGGAATTCAGTAATTTATTTTGTCTATAAACAATGGTGACATTTCCAAAGATCTCAAAGGGTGAAGTATTCAAAGTTATGTGTTTGCCCTTTAAGGATCCTTGAAAAAGGAAGGGTCTTCTGCCTTTTAGAATCTACCTTTAGAATCTTTTTCCTAGGATTGTTTAGATTATAAGCTCTTTGTTTTTAAAGCTATTAATACAGAATTTGGAAAGGATCATATACAGTATACAGAAAGAGAGACTAAGATTTTAATCAGCAGCAAACAGTGCTGTAGGCTTTTTAATGATCAGAATAGAAAATAAGGTGGGGAAGGACAGATTTATAGAAATGGTATGATTTAATTTGCAATTCAATGTTAGCGTCACATACCCTATTCTGTACATCATTTAATAATATTCTTTATTTTTGTTAAAGGTGTTTAAATCTTATATACAATTCCAGCCCATCCACGGGACACAGGGAGGTAATAATTTCAGGTGGCCGATGCTGCTGGGCAGCAATAGCAACTTCCCAGCTGTTCTTTTGGGAACTTCAAAGACGTTGTCCTCAGCAACAAATCTTGTCCAGCACCTCCAAAATTTCCTGGTGCCTCCAGTGTTCTGGAAGAGACTTTTCAATTGCCAATGTTCAAATAAGACTGACCTGCCTGACCAGTAGGCGCCTGCACAAGGAATGAGGAGAAAGAGACATCTGCTGCTTTAGTTACAGTATATCAGTGTTATGGTTGCAGCAGCAATATATGCAGAAACAGCCCTTGGTAGAGGACCTGAATGATACAGTAGTTAAATCTGGAGTATGTATCACAGTGGAGAAAGGCCAAAGTAACACATGTTCTTCAGCACGCAGAAAAAAATTGACTGATTTTGAAAACTTTCCTTTCCCTTTTTGTCTTTCTAAAAAGTCCTCAGAAATATTTTTACTAATACTACAGGAAAAGTTTTAAATTCCTACTTTATAATGTTAAAAAAAATCACTTTTACCAGTCAATTCACAAACAGAAAGAATAGAGATATAGCAGAGAAGAACATAATAGAACAGCATACTGTAATAGAATCTGAAATATGGCTGTAAAGATTTATGTCAGCCATTTTAAAAGACATGTAAGGTTCTTTGCCTTCTTTCTCTAAGTAAAAATATTATATTAATACAGGCATTTGGGACACAGCAGGGCTAGTTCCAAGTATAAGGCTCCATATTACACACACACACACACACACACAAACACACACACACACACACACACACACACACACACACACTGATACTAATGCTTTCCCTTAATGGACTTGCCTGCTAGCACTACCAGAAGCAGATGGAAGTACAGTGGTGCCTCGCTACATGATGATAATCCGTTCCACTGAAATCGCTGTTTAGTGAAATCATTGTCTAGCAAAAAGCATTTCCCCATTGGAATGCATTGAAACCTGTTTAATGCACTCCAATGGGGAAGAATCGTCATTGTCTAGAGAAGATTGGCCATAGGAAAGCCGCTTTGCGAATCGCCGATCAGCTGTTTAAATTACTGTCTTGCGAAGCTTAGGTCCCAAAAACACCCGTTTTGCGAGCCCGGAGGGAGCTGTCCAAATGGTTGTCTAGCGAAAATTGGTTTGCGAAGCAGGGACCAAACATTGTGCAGTGAAATTCCCCCATAGGAATCACGGTTTTGCGAATCGCTATAGCGATCGCAAAAAGTCAATGTCTAGCAAAAAACAAACAACAAAAAAAAACTGTCATGCGGGGTAACTGTCTAGCAAGGCACCACTGTAGAGATTTTGTGCTCTGTAGTGAGCAGCTAGAGAGGCATTGTCAGTAATTCACTCTGATTACCAACAATACCTCTGATATTGCTCCAAAACATTATGGAAACTTAAATGGTAGCATCATTCAAATTTCCCATATATCCCAGAACGACTCTAATCATTGAGGTTTATGATCATGAAAGTACAGTGGGGTCTCTACTTAAGAACGTCCCTACTTAAGAACAATTCCACTTAAGAACAGCTCCATTTGCTAAATTTTGCTTCTACTTGAGAACAAAACACTGTAGAGATTTTGTGCTCTGTAGTGAGCAGCTAGAGAGGCATTGTCAGTAATTCACTCTGATTACCAACAATACCTCTGATATTGCTCCAAAACATTATGGAAACTTAAATGGTAGCATCATTCAAATTTCCCATATATCCCAGAACGACTCTAATCATTGAGGATTATGATTATGAAAGTATTGCATTGGTGGGCATTCAGAGCTATAATACATGACAGGACCTACTTGGGCATTACACACTGCTGCCTAAGGAGACAGAGTGCAGACATGAGTCTTGGGCAGGATACTCAAGTTTCTTGATCCATTATTTTATAGCTGGCATTTTGGTTCATTTTTATTTGAACAGCTGATCACCAAAAGGCAAAACCTGGGAAGGTATTTTTTAAGGAGAATAAATATGAGAAGCTGGAGGCACCGATAACTGACTAGTGAAAATATGAGGTTCTGAGGCCCTAATACAGTTCAGTTATGGATGGTGTGAGTGCATATTCATTCTCCTTAAAAAGCTTTGTAAAGGTTCTCTTTCACTTCATCAATGGGACTTACACTAGTGTCAACTTAAAAGGTCCCATCCATTCAAATGGGCTGCTTTAGCTGGTACAGGCAACAGAATTTGGTCCCAAGATTTCAGTCAGTAATCACTGAATTCTGAAAACTGGATCTGATTTCATTCAGTACAGTGGACCTTCGACTTACAGAC